TCACAAATTGTAGTTATTAGTTATTATGTCCATTACACATTCTTACTCCTGAGATGTTTTAAAAGTCTCAGATACAAGTCAGCAAAAAGATATTACCATTATCATTGTTTACAGTGTCATATATAAAACAATCATTTTCAGAGTTATTAGAAGTTACCATTACCTTTGTTATTATAATACCATTATATGGTCATTATGATATTAGTTTAAAAAGTTGGTGGTGAATATTGATATAAATTTTCTTGTACAAATGCCTACCAAACTGATAGTGTAAAAATATATTTCTAGATAATATAATAATATAATAATATGATAATAATAATAATATAATATTCAGAGCTGGTGCTTACCTCCAGCTAATATTTTCCCAAACTCCTCTTTACTGCATTCTTCTACTTTCTCTCTCAGATTAGACACAGACTTTACTACATCCTCAAAAGTAAGATGAGGACTGATGGTAGGTACAACTGCAGCTTCAGGAGTGGTCGAGACAGACTGAAAACTCTACATATAGAAAAGGAAATAAAAACTATGAATGGATATACATAGCAGTTAGATTACATAGCTGTTGTGTGGCACAGGATGATCTTTGAAACTGTACTACACACCAAACTTATTAAAACGAGGAATTGTGAAAAATTGTTAAATTAGGAGCTACTGTATTGTGAATAAACATTCAGTGCTGTTACCTGGAGGAAATAAATGGGATCCTCTGTGTGTGAAAGCTCCTCCATCTCAGAGTCTCTCCTCTTCAGCTCTGCAATCTCCTGCTCCAGTTGCTTCATGATTTCTTCAGCTTCACTCACTGCAGCTTTCTCCTGAGCTCTGATCAGTGCTGTCAGTTCAGAACATCTTCTCTCAATGGATTTGATCAGATCAGTAAATAACTTCTCAGTTTCATGCACTGCTGTTTGTGCAGAGCGCTGTTAGGACACACACACACACACACGTTATTTATTGAAGTCTTTTATTGGAAACACAGCTACTGAGACAGTGACTAGATGAAAAAGGAGCATCTGAGTGATCCCGAATCAGCTCTTGCAGTTCCAAACTCACTTTGTGAGTCTCCACAGAATTCCTCAGCTTCTGAAGCTCATTCTGTCTGTCCTGGATTCTCTGCTTGAATTTTCCCTGCATCTCTAACAACTGCTTCTACACAGAAACACAGCATATAAATCACCCTCAGTGTGTAAAAGGTATAATATGAGAGAAAATTCTGAAAATGGCAAAATGAAATTTCAGACATTGTACTAAAGCAATTCTACTCTAACTAAATTTATTTACTAATGAATTTAAAAAAATAAAAAAGGTTTGTGTCCTTGAGTGGTTGTGAAAGACAGTTGTAAGATATTGTTACCTGTTTGTCAGCTCGTCCTGCTGCAACTGATACTGTATCATGTCCTTTATGTTCATCCATGGAACACATCATGCATATACACTTCTGATCATTGTGACAGTAAACCTCCAGCAGTTTGTCATGCTGAGAGCAGATCTGCTCCTGGAGTCGTCTGGAGGCTTCGACCAGCTTGTGCTTCTTAAAGGCAGGAGATTCATAGTGAGGCTGGAGGTGAGTTTCACAGAAAGAGGCCAGACACACCAGACAGGACTTGGTGGCTTTGGATTTTCTCCCAGTGCAGAAATCACACTCCACATCTTCAGGTCCAGCTGAACAGGGAGCAGGACGTGTAGCTTGGAGTCCTGTCTTCTTCAGTGTCTCCATTACTTCAGTTAGAACAGTGTTTTTACTCACAACAGGTCTTGGAGTGAAGGTTTCTTCACACTGAGGACAGCTATAGACTCCCTTCTGATCCTCCTGATCCCAGCAGCCATTAATACACACCATACAGAAAGTGTGTCCACAGAGAAGACCCACTGGATCCTTGAGTAGATCCAGACAGATTGGACAGCTGAACTGATCCTGAAGTCCGAAAATATTTGTTTCTGCCATTTTACTGAAAAATAAACTCTCACACAGTCACTTACAGAAGCTCACACTTTCTGGTTCAGTCTGTAAAAGCCAGGTGGAGAACAGGTGTGTCTGAAGAAAAGGGAATAACGGTATGAAACAGATCCGCTCTCGGACTGAACAGATACAGATTACTTTCACTTCCTTTTCTGATTAAATAAGAGTAGAGTTGCTAGGTCTGTGTGAGAGAACTGACTTAATCTCTGTAAGGATAAAGCAAATAACAGCTTTATCTTCACTTTTCCTCCGTCAGCCTTTCTTGTCTTTCTGTGTTTAAGAGTAAAGTGTTTCTCTTCTCTATGCTACCACGCAGATGTGGTTTGTCTCACAGCGCATACGGGCCTGGAGAGAGTCTGATTGAACACACTGACACACAGGGTAGCTCAGAGAGACTTCTCTCATTTATTGCAGATTCACAGAGGTTTATATAGTTACACATAGCCGTGCATAGGCGCACTGCTGTGTGGAAATAATATGGCAGTTGGACTGTCTGGTCACGTACGTGAAAAACATCTTAGGCAATACAAGAATGTACAGCAGTTGTTGAACATATATGCTGTGATGGTATGGTTCGCCAAACACAAAAAAGAAAAAGTTCCTATGGTGACATGTTAAACTGACACATACACAACAGACAGGTTCTAGAATGTTCATGAGACAGAAATTAAATATCTGAGGGAATAGATAATAGAGAGTTTCCCAACATTTCCCTCTTTTGACGTAGTGAAACGCAGGGCAATATAAAAGAAGATAATTCTAAGTCTGATACTCCTGCTAGAGCAACCTGGATGCAGCGGCCAAATTAGGTTCATGAGTATAAATATGTATGTCAAATAGGAGAGAAATGCGGAGTATCCAGATAATAAACAAGGTTCGTTTCGCAAACAGGTGCAAAACTAAATAGGGCTGTGGGGTGATGAATCCTGAACAGAGGATATACTTCTGCAGATACACGCACAAATACATGGGCCAAACAAACAGATCAGGATCATGGCAATAACCAAGGGGGCCAAGAAAGAAAGAGTCATAGGGAGAGAACCACCCAAACAGGTCCCACCAAATACCCCATATATTCTTGCCCTCCTCGTCACATCGCAAGTCCTCTGTGACTTTACCCATTTTAGAGAGTGACGGAAATATTACCTCTGGAGCATCGTGTGTGGGGATATAAGTACAACAATGTTCACCAACCATAGCACATACACCCCCTTCCCTTCCTTGGCAAGCATTATGTCCACTGCTAGACGGTTTTGTGTTGTCATTAATCGTAAAGCAGTAAATTCGTCTTTAATGGCGGTGATGGAGTCGGTAGTAGCATTAGCAAACATAGCGAGACGATAATGAGTGACCTCAGCAAAGTTCCACATTTACGAAACGCTCGGTGACGCTGTGGATCAATATCATCATATCGATGGGTCCTGAGACCTACAGCTACAGAACACCATGTATGCTGATATGTCTCTCGAACAGGGAAGAAGGTGAAAGGGATGATTGTGCTATGTGGCATAAGGGCGCAGATAAAACACGGTTGTATCAATTTAATTTGTTTTACAGTAAGAAGCAAGTATTTGTAGTATGTATTCTGGTTAAAATTTTCAATATTAAGATTGTCAGAGGCATCAGAGTCATCAGCATTAAGTGTGATAGGTACAGAACTTGAAAAATAGTCACTATTAGGGTCAATCCATCCTTGTTCACTAACTAAATTATTATCATCAGCCCAGGCATAAACATAGAACATAGGAACATATTAACAAGAAAAAATAACACCAACAGTGTGTTCAGTCTGTGTATATGTTGGACCCAGGGACACATTTGAAGAGAGTATGTGTATATGAGAGGTGTATCAGCAGCTAGAGCAGTAGAGTCCCCTTCAGATCTGCAAGTCAGATGAGAGTTCTAGTGGACTCAATCACCAGCATCAGTTAGGTATCAGTACAGTCAGTTTGGACTTACTGGACTGATTCCACGGGATCAGCCTATAATAGAACAGAATCATGCAATTATTTGTTCACAGATTTTAACCAACTGGCATGCCGCCAGATGAGTCCTTCTGAAGTCATGACAGCGGTTCTTGTTACTGCCACAACTTCATAAGGACCAGTGTATTTGGGTTCACCCAACTGCTTATTCCATTTAAGCACTCGGAGCAGACCCTGGTCCCCTGGAACGAAAGAATGAGTTGGATTCTGGGAAGGAAGAGGCAGTTTAGCTCTTTCACATTCATGTTTTTCTTGTAAGACATCAAGGCATTTAGACACATAATCACCCAGATGAAGGTCAACTCCGCTACCTGCGGAAGTAGATAAGTTATTAGACATTTTCCAGGCAGTAGGGAAAGGTCGGCCAAATAGAATCTCAAAGGGTGATAAACCTGTAGTTTTGGAAGGCGTCATTCTGATCTCAGTCAGAACCGCTGGTAAAACGTCAGGCCAGGCGGCACTCCCCCTCTGTTGCATAGCTTTGCTCAAGCGATCTTTTAAAGTGCGGTTCATTCTCTCAACCACCCCAGACGACTATGGGTGGTAGGAAATGTGATTATTTCCAGTCTATAGTCAAATAGTTGCATAGACGTTGTGTGACTTGTGAGGTGAAAGCAGTGACTTTGTCTGAGTCAATTTGCAGAGGCACACCGAAACGTGGGATGATTTCTTTTGCTAAGACATGAACAACTGTTTTTGTGTTCCCAGTAGCACATGGAAACGCTTCAACCCATTTAGAGAAACAATCAACGATGACTAAAAGCATTTTATACAAACCTACTCGAGGCATATGTGTGAAGTAAATTTGCAGACTTTCAAAGGGCACCTGTGGGGGCGGAAGAGCATCATGACACACGGGCGAACCTTCACATTGTTTTGTAGACAGATTAAACAATGAGAGAGATGTAGTTTAATCTGATGTCTCAAATCTAAATACAAAATTTAAATGTCATGTCAGACATTATGCCAGTGAAACCTCGATGCGTAACACCATGAAACTCACGGATTTAAAATGGGGTGCTGGCTTTTGAAACGCATTAGATAACCTACAGGCCGCAAGGTGGCTTAGTGGTTAGCACGTGGCTTAGTGGTTAGCACGACGTCCGGGGTTCGATTCCCGCCGGGGCCATGTGTGTGCGGAGTTTGCATGTTCTCCCCGTGTTGCGGGGGTTTCCTCCGGGTACTCCGGTTTCCTCCCCCAGTCCAAAGACATGCATGGTAGGTTGATTGGCAGCTTGGTAAATTGTATGAATGGGTGTGTGAGTATGTATGTGATTGTGCCCTGCGATGGACTGGCACCCTGTCCAGGGTGTACCCCGCCTTGTGCCCGATGCTTCCTGGGATAGGCTCCAGGTTCCCCGCGAAGCAGGAATAAGCGGTCGAAGATGGATGGATGGATGGATACTCAATACATCAGGTACAGAATTATAACCTCATTAATTCTTCAGAGATCTTGTGTGAATCTCCACGTGCCGTCAGGTTTTGGAACACGATTAACAGGTGTATTGTAAGAATGAATTTAGTATGACGTCAATGCCACAGGCCTTAGAGAGAGGATACTGTTTTACATAAACAGGATTAGAATGCTTCAACTTAGCCTGATATGGAATACAAAATACAGATCCGACCTCATCCTTGTTTTCAGTCCAAAGAAAACTTGGCAGGCTGCTTTGGATCTGGTGACTCAGAAGGAGAAAAAAAGAGAAAGCAAGACACATTGTACAGCTGATTTAGGGTGGTAAACTGCGGTTTCAGAAAGCAGAGGTGTAGAAATCACTAATTTAGAGCCAGAGAAGGCGAGAGTGAGTTGCAATTTACTCATAAGGTCTCTGCCTAAGAGATTAAAAGGACACTCTGGCATGTTAACGAATTGATGTTGAAAAAGTAATTCAGGATCCAAACATGGATATACAAACAACGGTGGTGTTACGTACTGCTCAGTCACTACCCCTTTTATTCCCATAGAGCTCACAGGATTTGGGGTTAATGGCCCAGTGTAGGAATGACCAATTTAAGACATAGTAGCGCCAGTATCCAACAAAAAGGCATATACCATACCTGAGACGTTTAGTTCAATCATGGGTAATTTCTTAATTTGTGGTGAATTGAAAGCTACATTTAAATATGAACGGCACATCCCTGTTGCTGATCGCGGCGTTTAGATCTACACTCCTGTGCCCAATGGCCGGGTCTTTTACAATAGTGACAGGTCCCTTTGCCCCCTCTACCTCCTTCAACATTACCTGAAGTATCAGAGACTGAGGATACATTATCAGAATCTTCAGCAGGGCCATCCATCAGGGCAGCGATATTTTTTAGACATGCATCACTCAACAGACCATCAGCGTGTAATTGACGAACCTTAGCTGCGAATTCAGTAACAGTGATTCAAGCTCTATCAGTACAATGCCTCTTAAGCGCGTGCTGCACGCGAGGTGGGAAGCAGGATAAGAACGTGTTTACAAATGGAATGTTAGCATTTACAGGATTATAAGCCTTGAGTGCAACATGTCTCCATTATGTAGTGAAAAGTTCTAAGAATGTAGGGACAGTTTCACCCTTCCCCATAGTTAAAGCAGTTACTTGAGTTAAATCCTGTGCAGCGGAGCTGAGTCTAGCTAAATACTGCAGCAAATCAGTCTTAAATTTTTTTGCTAACTTTTTTCCCTCATCAGCCCAATAGAGAGTCATTACATTTTTCTTCTTTTTCTTAATTTTGGAGGTACGGGGAGTATCGGGTTCCCCTCCGTCCATTATGACGGTGGTGATAGTCTCCTCATCCTCGGTTCCAGCGAGGGTGGGATTATCATGCAAATGTTTAAGTGCTTCAACAGCTTCTAATAAGCCTTCCTCATCATACTCATCTTTAAGCGTGCTGCGAATGAGGAAGAGATAATCAAGTCCAGTTAACTGTAAAGGAGCGATGCATGACATTAAGGTGTTAACCCATTTCATGGGTTCCCTTTTTGGATTATGCACGATAATAGCTTGTGCGGAGAATGTGAGGTCTGAAAATGAGGCTGGGGAAACATGAAAACCTTCTTTGCCTTTTGCTTGCCATGCCATGGCTATGTTAGCTGGTTGAGGAAGAGAGGGCAATAAAAAATGACCCGGAGGGGGGTCAGGTCTTCATCATACTCACTATCAGTAGACAATGTGGAGTCAGAGTCCGTGCTCTCGTGAGAGCACATAGTGGCGGCAGTGAGAACAGCAGGAGGAGGAGAGAGAGATATTTCCTTCCTGGTTGTGGGTGTGGCTTTTGAAGCACAAGGCTCCTTTGTGTGTGTTTCTTTATACTCTCCATAAGAAGGAGGGGCTTTAAGTTTTTTGTGGAAATGTGCGCGGTGTATTTTCATTAACAATAAATGCCTTGGGTATTTTGGTTTTAACATTATAATGTTTGTCCCAATAGGGAAGACGACGCAACCATTCCATGTAGCATATCAACACATATTCATAATCCCAATTTGGATCTCCTTTGCCGTCATAAATCATCCATTTAATCTGCTCTAGAACACGACGTTCAAAAGAGCTGCGAAGAGATATAATTTGTAGCTGCGGAGAACACGTAATTGACCATCCATTCAAATAAGCAAGATACAGAACAGTATACAAACCCCCAGAAACGCTTCCACCCAATCACGAAGAGTCATTCCCGGTGATGGGTGGGCAGGGGTAGAGGAGGACCCTTCCATGCCTGGAAAAACACTTAACATAGAATTTACAAATAACAAACAATATAACCAAACAAAATACACTCCATGGCAAACCACAAAAGCGCAAACTATTATAAGGCAGTCGTGGGCGTGACATTTGCAGAGGAGCTCACAGAGTACAGATTATCCTAAACCCAGACAATCACCCCCATTAATAAGTTCAGACATTCACCACATCAGGGAAGCAAACTAAATAAATGATCACTTACCCTGATTTGGAGAAGTCCCGCTTCTGACGCCAAGTTGTAAGGATAAAGCAAATAACAGCTTTATCTTCACTTTTCCTCCATCAGACTTTCTTGCCTTTCTGTGTTTAAGAGTAGAGTGTTTCTCTTCTCTATGCTACCACGCGGATGTGGTTTGCCTCAGAGTGCGTACGGGCCCGGAGAGAATCTGATTGAACACACTGACACACATGGTAGCTCAGAGAGACTTCTCCAATTTATTGCAGATTCACAGAGGTTTATATAGGTACACATAGCCGTGCATAAGCGCACTGCTGTGTGGAAATAATATGGCAGTTGGACGGTCTGGTCACGTACGTGAAAAACATCTTAGGCAATACAAGAATGTACAGCAGTTGTTGAACATATATGGTCAAGCGATGGTATGGTTCGCCAAACACAGAAAAGAAAAAGTTCCTATGGTGACATGTTAAACTGGCACTGTCTCTCCCCCATTCAACCATAACACGAAAGGGCAAGCACATGTTTAAACAAATTACAAAAAATAATCACTCAAAAGAAGGGTAAAGAAACAAAATAATCACACAGATAAATAAAATAACAATATATATACAAATAAAAATTAGTAAATAAGTATACTGCTCAAAAAAATAAAGGGAACACTTGGAGTTACATTGTGATGTTTAAGTGTTCCTTTTATGTTTTTGAGCAGTATATATAAATTATGATTTAAATAAAGATGAAATTAGATTAATCAGAGCTAAATAAAATCCTACCTCTCCCATTTAACCATAACACAAAAGGGAAGAGGAGGAGACAAAACAGGAAATTACACAAATTAATGACATGACAACAATTAAAAGGAAAAAATACTCAGACAAACAGACAGCCACATCAGGTACACATCCTTTTTTATGTAATTCTACACATTAAATTTAAGGAGTGTTTTCTATACCCGTTAGTTCACCACCGTAGAACTACGAAAAAAATTTAGAATACTGGGGAAAAATAAAATCTGTACATGGGTCATAAGTCCACATACAAAACAATCAGTGAGGACAGTCAGCAATGGATGCTACCCAATGAAAGGAAAAAACATTGAAATTGGCCAAATTTCAACACATTCATTAGAAATTAAAGTGCCCATTACACCTCAAACACCAAGTACTCAAATAAGGCAAGTTTTCAGTAGAAAAAAACAAATGAACAAGGCAAGTTTCAAAAACCACATGTACCTATAGCCAAACTGAATTCAGACAAGAATAACTGGAGACCCAGAATCAAAACCTAACAGGGTTTCAAGTTGAAGCATAGATTCAATAAGTGTGCATACTGGTTTGAGGACTCTCCCAAACCTGCTAGTGAAATGATAACCTGTATTTAAATCAGCTATAGGATCTTGCCTGCAGGCTACACTGGTAGAGACAGGATTTTGGAATGAATGGCCAGCACCAGCCACAGTATTATTATCATTCACTGGCACAGCAATTTGTGCATTTGGCTGCACTTGATTGGGCAACTAAGAATGCACCCACGATGAAGTGCGGTCATCATCACAAGTAGCCACATTGGAGATGTTTGACATAGAGCCTGCATGTGAGAGTGCCTCAGCCTCATCCTGCCCATAATCTGCGTGTTCTGCAGACTCAATCTCAGGAGCGTTGGAGGTCTCACCACTGCATGTCTGCCCAGTTAGACCAAAACAGCACGCAGCATCAGACATCTGTGAAGGTATACTGTGAGTAAGTGTTTCCCCATGATCAAGACCAACTATTTCTGTTTCAGGCAGAGGGAGGAAGTTCAATTGCAGAAGAAGATTCTGGTGCACTATTCTCTCATTACCAGCCCGGTCACAGATCTTGTAGACATGTATGGAAGGCTTTGAGGCAACAACAGTGTACATGACTGGCTCCCATTAGTCAGCAAGCATCCGTTTCCCTCTACAGCCCTTGTTAGCCACAAGCACTTGGTCACCAATGGCTAGAGGTAGGCCTTTAACTCTTTTGTTGTACTGGCTGGACTGGTGTCTTTGCTCCACAACAGAATTCTTTTGTGCTAATGTCATGGCATACTGGAGGTCACTGACTAAAGATTTCACATACTCGTTATAGTCACAAACAGACTTATCCTGTAAAACACTTTGGAACAACTGGCAACAGTAAAAAAGGGGCAAAACCTGTTGTTTCATGTGCTATACAATTGTACACAAAAGTCATGGTCTGTACCA